TTTACGAGGAAGGGGTTTTCAAGGTCAGGCCTAGTAAATATACTGTCTCCCCATTATTTTCTCCTTGTAGGACTTCCACCCGTTTTTTCCCTCCCCTTTTTTTTAACACCCGGAGGGCATTTTTCTTCTCATTCTCTCGTTCTCTCATTCTCATTCTCATTCTTTCTCTCTTTCTCTCTGAAGGTCAAGGCCACGTCTTTCCATTGCGTCACACTGCAAATTGCGTAGATGTTAATTAGCTGACAGTGCAAAAGTATGGAATGTGGGTGTGAGAGACACAAACCAGACGTCAGGGTATATTAGAATTTATCTCTTCCAGGCTCAACCATTGATAAAAGACCTTTGTCCGTGGAAAACATAATTCGAATATTTTTCTGAGGTGCTTCTAATCGAAATTGATGCATGTGCCATGGGCGAGTATACTTAGTAAGTGAATATCGGAGCTGACGTTGACAGGCACAAAGATCTTATTATTCCCCCCTTTTCCTTCCTTCTCTTTACGAAGAAGAGTTGTCTCCTCCCTCTCTCTTCCTTTCCACTTCCTCCTCGTCTTTCTTCCGTCTTTGTACTCCCTCGACTCGCCCCTTCGGGCGATTCCTTCTTTCGCTCTGCCACGGCGCATCAGATCTAGAAACCGTGCAAGAACCTTTGTATATCCTACCAGTTAAACAAATCATCGTGGTCTGAATGCACGCCGATATCGATCTGCAATGACAAATCGACATGATCACTGAGCCCGAAAGATAGGCAAAATCAGAGCTGCCTATTTTAGAACAACATAAATAACATTCTTTGAAAGGGAAAAGAGAGGCCAATATGGTGGTAGTGTCGATACGTGGAATGGGATTTTTGCAAGGATGGAAAAATTTATGTGAGGGGGTTCTAGGAGAGATATTCGGGATACATTAAGTGTTGCATGGAATGCCTGCCAGGGCTGCCCTCCAACTGACATTGCCAGCGGCGAGGCGTCCACTTCCTTCCTTCTGCAGTGGAAAAGCATTCCATGCTAGCTAGCTCAAGAGAGAGAGAGGGAGAAAAGAAAGACGATGTACAAGGTAGGGGCTTGTATGGGAGGACCTCCCAAAATCTCCTATACCAGGGAAGATACTTTGCATGCATGTGTGCATAGACGAGAAAGGAGGTCAGGTGCACAGGGGAGACCTCCAGACAGGGGTGTTTTCCGAGGGGGGATTGGGGTGTGTCACACCAAATATTTAGAGATTCCATATTCCTCCCTCCTCCTCCCTTCCCCTGCTAAAAGAATCGATACGGCGAGACTCCGCTAACAATAAAAGGGGAGTTGCTATGGCGACCATTGTTAACTGCTAACCCCCTCCCCCCCCCTCTCGTTACCATTTCGCAGTTCGAGGAAGGGGGGAGTTGTGTCTGGAATTATACTACGCAGTTACGTGTACCCCCTTCCGTCTTCAGCCAGCCGTGAATGTGACCCATTTTTTTTGTTCCCCCCCCCCCCCCCCTCCTCTCTCTCTTGGTCCCCTTAACTCGAAGCACCGCCTTTGCCATCCCCCCTTTGCACTTCCTGCCGGTTACCCCCTTGCCGCCAGAGTTGCCGGATCCTCATACCTGAAATCTTTTCACCCATTCATGCTTTCGTGGTTTTCCACGGTCACGTACAATCGCCAGGATGTTTCAATCGCCGCTTTTCACAGAATAAATGTCAACGTTAATTTTCACAAATATTGGCGGTTTTCCTTTGCTGTGTTCGTCAATGAGCAGGGCCGGATTAACCCATGTAGCCTTAGGCCCTACTTTAGGCCCTCCGTTCCATATTTTTTTCAATATGTAATTCATACTTAGACCCTTCCTTCCTATTAGCCTTACGCCCCTCATAACCTTAATCCGGCCCTGTCAATGAGGAGTTTGAAATCCCAGGTATTGTACTTAGCGAGATTTATATTTTTCCTATGTCTCCTCTCAGTCCGCTTTTTGAGATCAGCATGAACCACGGCAGTCGGTCCGACTCATGTGGAGAGATAGGTAAACACAGCCTTATCGGAAGAGAGTGTGTGTACTCACGTGGATGGATATCAGGAAGGGAATATATCCCTAGATTCGAACTCCAAGCACGCAAAGAACCTTCTTCACCAAAACCCTTATGTGACAGCTATTATGGAAGCTGAGTTATCGGCCATGGATTATCCCATCAGCCTCCGCCCTTCGTGCTTCTCTAGGAAAAAAAAGCCCCGTTGGCTTTATAAATAAAGGATCGTGTCACTATATAACTGTCTTCTGTCACGAACCAGATTCTACGGCTATTTTTGAAAATTTGCAATGGAAAAAAACTCGCTCTCTCCACTTTGCAGTGCATGCAGATATTACTCTGCCATTTCATGTACACGGTCAGAGAAATAATGCTGTGAGATCAGGGGCAAATGGGGGGAGAGATCTGGCAACAGTGCCAGACACGGTTGCATGGGAAGTATGGAATCGATCGTCCTTGGCCTTGGCAACAGTGTGCAGCATAGTCCGTCCCCTCCCCCCCCCCCCCCCCCCCCCCCCCCCCCCCCCCCCCCCCCCCCCCCCCCCNCCCCCCCCCCCCCCCCCCCCCCCCCCCCCCCCTCTTTTCCCATTCCCTCCTGCTTTCGGCTCCCCCGTGTAGGGATGCCAATGCCGTCCATACCATGCAAACAATGGCATCCCATTCTGTTGAGCTCCCGGAGAAAGGGAGGAATTCCAGAGTGGATTCCCCTTCCTCGAAGGAGGATGCTGTTCCACCGATGAGAAGGGAGCTAATGGTAGAAACGACGTGGGGGAGGGTGGAAATACACGCCATTTTCTCTAGATTTCTGCAAATGTTGACTTTTTTGGTGCATGTTCCAAAAAGCGCCCCATGCAACCGTACTGTCGTACTGAAATATTATGAGAAACTTGAAAAAATTTCTTGAAGGGATGAAGGAGAGCAACAACTTAGTGTGATCAGATGCTGGCGTACGCTTCCTCATACGTCGCAATTCTCCCTTTTTCCCACCAGGAGATGAGGGGGAGTAAGCCGTGAGGCATGTCGTTCGGGAAGGGAGAGTAAAGGAGAGAGAAAAAATGCAAACCAGCTGTGGGACCATTCCAGATTCTGTCCCGAGTCCCATTCCCTCAACACAGCTGCCAGCTCTCCCTCCCTTTCCCGGTTCGAGCCTATGCAGCACAAGATGAATGGCACAGGACAATATAACCTATTTATGTTGAAAATATATGTGGAACTACCCATAAAAACAGACATACTGCGTAGTGAGTCTAACCTATTGCAGCAAACAAAAAAGTTCTAAACAAAGGGGACAGGTAAGAAGGTCGAAGGCAAACAAGGCATTTCAGATGCTCGTCAGGGGTGTGATCACATCCACAACCTGCATTTCAGCATGTACCCTTTTCGGCTTCACACCAGGGATGTACAATACTAAAGGAAGGAGTAGACTTGAGCAGCAAATCAATGCTTTCTTGGCTTGATTTGAGACATTATAGCGTATTCAACAGTCAACTGTTTTAAGACCAATTGAGTAATGAATCGGCTGTTGCTGTGAATATATCTCAAATTATTCCATAAAATCCGCTATTTACCAATCTTGACTGGATATGCGGGTGTACGTGCGATTCAAATGTATTATCTCTTGGAGTGAAGAGAAATTCATACACCTTTGTCCCCCTCCCAGTTTCTCCTATCTAAGAAGGCCTCGTACCTTATATACCGTGTGCATATGCATATGTACATATACGTAATCATGAGTGATGGCCCAATTGCAGGCCGAAAGACTGCGATGCAGAGCGTGGCAAGCAAGCTCCCGACCCAACGCCCAACAATCCAGGGACAGAAGCGAAGGAACTCACTGTTAGTCATCAGCGATACCTCATTTCGACAGACAGTCGGTCTCATACTGTTTAGAAAAGTCAGCTAATGGAAGGAAGGATTGCCTGCTTAAGAAAAAAGTTATCAAATGAATAGATAGCCAAGAAATCCTAGATTTATTACAAAAGGAGGGCGGCCCTCATCACCTCTACCTACAAAAGTATAAGTCGAGGATCGTTTTTGCCATTTCAGTCTTGTATTTATAGTCATAGTCTGCATTCGTGCATCCATAGCCTTTGCAATATCAGCAGCAACCCCAGATTAAGCTCCTTGGCATCAAAATACGAGGTACGTCTGATTGGCTGCGGAAGGCAGAAATAACGTATTATTGTGAAATTGTTGAGAAAATGCATTTCTATTTCTCGACAATTTGATATATTTTCAAATATTCTGTAGGCAAAATACGTTTTCTGGGATATAATAGTTCGGTAGTTCCAGAACTTCGCAGTATGTACAACTCTACAACTGTTGCAGCAATTTTGTGAGAGCAACACGGTCCTGGTGATTATGACAGTATCCCAGTGCTTTGGCTTCTTTCCCATACTTTTTATCAATTGATCTCAGTGCTTAGCTCATTCAGACGGTCGTGGGTGGGTTAGATGTTAGTCACCAAATATTCTTCGAGGTCAAGGTCAATGTTGGCAGAAACAATCCAGCGTGTCTGTGCAGAACACTTTCAAAACACACGTTACTAGGCCAAAAATTATTTTTCTTCCTATCCACCCGCATTAATTTTTAAAGATCTTTCAGAGACAATCCGTGGCCAAATGACCCTTAAATGTCCACAGGCTATATTCGATATGGGAGGAAAAAGAACAACCGTTTGACTTTGCAATTCATTTGAAGAACTTTAATCATGGTTTTTCATTTTCTTCGATCTAAGATGCCAGAATTAGAAAGCCAAACGACAATTACTAGTAGAAAGTAAACGTGTGAAACTTCCAAATATTAAACTTGAACGTCACCAGATCGAAAGCATTAAAAAAAACCAAAAGGAATCACGGAAGAAATTCCTTGAAAAGACGGACCACGTGGTGGTTGTTTATGTGAGCAATGGGTGGAGCGATGGAGAGCCGGCCGGAATACGCATGCGCAATCCACACAATGGCTTCTTTGGCCGGCGTCCCTTTCGAGAAGCGGCGCAGTTGGATCTCCGCTATCATATGGGATACGCTCCCTGCGCCTGGCTGTCTGACTTGTGTGCCTGTGTGTGAAAGAGAGTTTGGGAAAGATCCTTTTATTTCCCTCCATTTTCAACGATACTCGGTGCACGGATCCCGGTGTTCCACCGACCGATGTTGACCTGTGTCGGCCAGACAAAACCCTCTTTATCGAAACGGTTTCGAGCCGTGTTTCAGCTAGTCGAACCCTTGATGGCCGCTCTCAGGTAGCAATTAAGGGAACTTTGTATAAAACCAATCCTTTTATCTTGATATCTCGTACAAATCCTCCGTGTCGTCGTCGTCGTTGTTGTCGTCGTTGTCGTTCCCTTACCGCGGCAAATGCCAAACCGACGCGTGAATCAGCTGCAGCCTGAAGTCCATTTCGAGGAGGTAATGGAGAATCACGATGCTGAGAGTGTGGAGTGCTGCGTCCCCACTGGTTGTACCTTGAAAGACCCAATCCACCTTGCGGATCTTACCGACGCCCGCAAGGTCTTGTGTAACAACGAGCAGTGCACGACGAGCGGGTTTATGCACTCGGCTTGTTTCGAGGCTTGGGAGGCAGGGGTCCTTGCCTTTCTTAAGAGCTGTGGCCGGGCCCGGAGCTGGTCGGAGAAACAGCGTCACCAGAACCTGTGGACGAAGAAAGGATACGACTTGGCCTTCAAGGCCTGTGGTTGCAGATGCGGACGGGGACACCTGAGGAAGGACCTGGATTGGATCCCTCCCAAACCCCAGAACGTGCTGCAGCCCGAGCAACAGAAACGGAAGAAGAAGCACAAGCAGAATGCCCTGCCGATCTTGGGCCTGGGATTCCCCCAACCCCAGCTGCATCACAGCGGAAGCCCCCCCAAAAATGGGAATGGAAATATGGAACCAATTCGGGCTCGGACGAACAGCATGTCGTCGACGGGGAGCACGGGGAGTCCGTCATCGGGAAATTCGTCGAATGCGGAATCCCCTTCCCCCATCCACGCTCCCAGTAACGTGAGGAGGAAGTCGGGCAGTGGTGCCAACTTTGACTTCTTCGCTGAACGAACCAGGTAACAACTTCACTCTAATCGGTCAATTCCCTTTCCTTATCTCACTCTGTGAAGCGGCCTCTACATGTAATGCTTGTATTACAATGACCTTTCTTTCATCATGTTACATTGAAGATAGGGGGTAATGTTTTTCTCCCTCGAAGCTTGCATCATTTAAGGGACTTCACCGAACCCCCAAAACTTTTCATAATTTACTCTTTCGCGACAGAATTTTCAAACATCCCTTTAGGTGCAAAAATGCAACAACCGAAGCGTAAGAGCTAAAATTTGATTGGGTTTGGGAAAATGAGCCGAACTGACGAGAGTCTACAGGGGAAATTGCCTATTTTCTGGCTATGAATATTGCAGATTTTGGATTTGTTGAGACAAGTAGACAATACCTGGCTTGCCGTTCGGTTTTCCAGAGGTCACGCCATGAAATCTGACAAAATAATTGCCAGAATGTGATCCTACTCAGTAAAGTTTCACCTCTTATGGGAAAGCGAAGTGGGAAGGGAAGGGAAACCTGAAGTCATGTTATATATATATTTTTTTTAGACATGGCTCAGGGACAAACGGGATCTTCTCCCGGCGTCTGGATTTCCGGTCTTTCAACGTCCTGCCTCGACACAAGATCAACTCCTACCACATCAAGGCAAGGCCTTCCCCCCTCTCCCGGTTTCTTTTTTTTTTTCTTCTATCATTCTCCTCATCCTTCCTTGTCACGGGCTCCATTTCCGGACTCGTGTCTGTCCGGCGCCGACGAAGACCGATCGCCTGCAGAGGAAAATGACTTTGATTCCTTCCATTCATCGCGAAAACCTTAATACATCCATATCCACTGTCACTATAATACGTCATTCCAAAAAAAAAACAGCGATGGAGAGTTAGCGGAGGGACGATCTAATTTTCCGCGATCGCCCTATCGAAACTCGTGCATGAGTCGTCGTATATTATAATCCTAAATCAAGGGAACTAAGAGACCTTCAAACCATAAGGAAATCGTCGCGATCAGTGCGCGGGATTTCGAGCAATGAACGAGGAAAGAGAGGGCAATCAATATTCACTCAAGCTCGGGGAGAGCGCGAAGTTTTTTCTTGGAATGGGGCGTTAGTAAGCCTTTAGGAGGTTAAAGAGGATTGGCACAATTATGATATGCAGCATTCCCGGGAATGATTCTGCTTGAAAAGCAAGGGTTTCGTTAACCCTGGACCGGGAATTTGGTGAAATTTCGTTACTATGGTGGGGTGCGACACACCCCTATAGGATACGCCATCTTGGCCCTTTTGAGGGAGACATTTAAGAGCTACGATATCCCTGAAATGAAAAGCTCTAGAGATACATTCCCCGTCGCACACAAGAGCCATTGGAATAGGACAGGAGCTCTGGAAAGTGATATGAACATGACATGTAAACATAAGCCCCTTGAAGTGTGGTTACTCCTCACCACTCCTGTCCAGGGTAAGAAGTTGTCGTCTGAACTGAGAAAGAAGCCAATGTTCTCAATGACGAAACTATTGTATTGGACTGGCCAAAAAACGTCGCGTCATATTGCCCTGAAATTTCCTCATTCAAGAGCATCAAATCCAATTTGGCAGTAGGCCGAATGGATTTCTTCAGGGTTGGTTGAAGACCACACTAACAAACAGTGGCGGCTCGTGATATTCTAATTTTATTACACTAAATTTTTTCATTACAAACAGGCTGAGGTTTGGCAGCGTTTTATCGAAACTAACGGTTAAGGGCTTCGCGAGCCGGACTACATGGATTGGTCGTCAGCTGTTAATGATTTGAACTAGTCATTTGAAATAGGAAATCGAAGTCTCCTGCGAAAAATGGTTGTCTTCACCCCCGCCAAAATTGGACAGCTTTGAGGGATCAGGACAGCTGCTTTTTTTTTTTCTTTGGAAGCCCTTTTTCGCCTAGCAGAAAGTTATTACTAAAACTGCCGCTTTCTTGGAGGACCGTATGCGCTCCGGGTTTCTACTGAAGTGATTTCAAGTCTTATGTTAGGTTAAGTATCGCTTTCAAACGAATTCTTGTTGGGAGAGATTCGGAGCGGTCAGAAGAGCCGAGGTGAACGAACGCTTTTCAGGGCATGGAAACAGAAAAAAAAAGCGTCCATGCTATGACCCACATTGCATCACATACTATCGATCTCTCTCAACTCCCTCTTCTTTCCCCCATCTTCTATTCCAGGAAAGTGGTTCTTGCAATTCTGGGAAAGGGGGTGGTGACAGAGCCTTCACAATACTGTTGCGATGTTGAACAAAAAAGTTCCCAGGAGGGAGGTTTCATAGAAGGAAGAGGCGGGCTTGTCTGTCGTAACCGGTCGACCAGGGTTGAAGGACCTGCGATTGCGACATCAAACACACAGTTCGTTCACTTGATGAACACAAAGTGAAAGTCGGACGAGGGAAGAAAAAAAGGAAAAGCCTTGGTATAGAACAGGTCCATCGACCCTCATCTAGCCTAGCCCTTCGCATCTGGACGTTGGCCTACATGTCGCAATCTCCCTTGGTTTTTCGCTGTTCTTACCTGCTTCCTCCACGCGCATACAAGTCTAGATGTAGAATAATAGAAACGCGGCTCAGTTCTTGGATTAGCTTAGATTTCAAAGGGGCGTTCCCGATGGAGCATCTCGTTTTTATGAGGTTTTGCTTGATTGTGTCAAGGGAAGACCAGAGTCTAGTAGAACAAAGGATGCAAGGATAGCATTAACCTGAATGACGTATTCCACGTAGCAAGTGTGACGGAAGTGCTGCCATCTGCACCGCGTTTCCCTTTCGACACATTCCCTCAGGGTTGGGGCACAGTGTTGTCAGATGAGTCCGCCCTTCTTTTGTCCCTTTTCTCCATGACTTTTTGCACTCCAGCTCCGGTTTTCGATTTCAACGGCCTAGTGAAACTTTTAGCGTTCATGCTGTTAAAGTTGAAAAGGTGCGGCTGATAAAGATACATGTGAGGGTGAGCCATGATGGATCTGGCAACTATGATGGTGGAAGAGAATGCGGAATCTGGACTGTCCTTGGAGGAGTTACGAAATGTGTGGAGGCAAAGCCATTAGGTCGTGTTTGCAGGCCGATATACAGCTGCCTCAACCATATGTGCATGCGACCTCGGTTTTATGTCTGTCCGTCTCTCGCGATCCTCTCCATCGTCACCGTAGAGATGTTAATAAAAGCACGAGTGTATATCATATGTATGAGTGCTTATGTTTACGAACGACATAATCTTATCTAGCAAATAGGTCCAATAAATATCAGGGGGTTATCTCGAAACGGGGTGATTGGGTCTATCTTCGATTTTCTCCATAGAGGGAAATTTCGAAATATTGTCACGCCCTATTAATAATCCCATTGATATGACGACGAAGAGAAGCATTACCTCGATGATAACCTCATCCGACTTCGCGACGGTGAAAAATTAAGGGAAAATTTCATTATTCTTTCAAAAAAGCCTAACTTTTTGTGCTTTTCCTGTAGAGTCATTGTTTGTCCAGTGTCGGCAACGCCACCACCAGCCATCTTGCCCTCCCATGGGTATATTTTTCCACCCTCTCCAATGATTTTTACAGCATGGGAACTGGGGCACGTGGCCCATCACATTTCGCTTCACGTGCTCTCCTGAGCAGAAAAGGTCGAACAAGGTCGGAGAAACATGTAAACAGAAACTCTGTCGGGCTTCCAAGCCAAAACTCAAGACCTATTTCCGCGGTCCGTGACCCGATCTTGTGTATAAACACATAGGTTCGCTGTCGGAAATAGACCCGGTACCCCGCTGATAAATGCGTTTCATGTAAAACCCATTAACATTACTATTTTGTCGGAATTTATGAGGGAAAGAGCTAAGCTCTCCGAGTGGAAGACTGAGGACATGAGGACATGTGTATTTCGAGACATTCCCTTGAGACAGGCGAAGTTTAAGAGGCAAAGTTTGTTTATTCGGTTGGGAATGTGATTCCCGATCGTCGTGATGAATTCAGGAACTCCAGCTGTTCGGATATTGCTGGCAAATTCCCGTGCGCGGGTCTGGGTCTTCCAGGGATGAAAAGTACGGGGTGATCTGCAACTGCATCCCTCACTCACACTCACCCACATTCACGCGCCTTCACCCTCCTCCCTTTCCCATGTCCTTGGCATTGAAAAGTCTCTCTCTCTCTCTCTCTGCATCCCCGCTGAGTGGGGGAAGAAGGAGAAATGCACGTGAAGGAGTGTGGAGTATCGATCTCCACCCCCTTTCCCTGCTCTGCTCACCCCAGCCCCTCAAAACCTCATGCCTTCCTGATCCACTCAGTACATGTGGCACTGCACATAACGCTGCTCCAATTCCCACATCCTGTGATCCCGACGCACAACTCGCACGGCGTCTTTCAGCAGCAGCATATTCCATAAGGCAATAGGGAAATCGGATACAGTTGAAAGTATGGTTCGATTTCTTGCACCTACCTTTGGCATGAGCCCAAGCTATCTCGACAAGTGAAAATCCTCGAGAAAACAGACGCAGAAAATGAAGCCGAACGATCGCTTTACATGCGATAGCAATATGCTCTCACGTGTGGACGGGGAAGAGCTTATTGTTCTCATGTTAGGCAGAAGAAGAAATGAACCTTATATTCAAAAAGTGAAATGTTAATGAGGTCACCTTTAGTGAAAGGTTCCTTATCCGGTCTGTTGAAATACCGGATAATTACCTTTTAATTACCTTGTAATGACCCGGGGAAAGGCACTCTTCTCTTCGAGTACTGGTTTTGCCATCTAGCACAATAATTTGAGGGTAATTTCACGATGAAGGACTTTCATACATTGATATCAGATTTTCTCTAGAAAGTACAAAAAAAATACAGGAGTCACATATTCACCATGTGAGTCCTCAATGTGACTTTGCCGTCTTTATGGTATAAAAGAGGCTTTCAAAAGCCATCATCATCATGAGGGAACACCAAGCTTCCGTCATTTTTATGTATTCTATCACGACACTTTTTTATGGTCGTCGTGAGGCTGCCTAAATACGGAGGGGGAGATCGTGAATATGGAATGTAATAGTGAATTCCCAGCGTACGTGTGGATTGGAGGGGAGTTGTATCGTATACAGGGTGACAAACAATGATAGCCCCCCCCTCCCCAGAGTAAACGAAGCCTGGTAGGAAAAAAATGAAAATACCAATAGGTAGCACAATTTATTGTGGGTTTATATTTACAAGCTCAATAAAGAATTGGATGTACTTTCAGATTATATCACGATCACACTTCTAGCTATTACAGTATTTCCCCGGCAGGGGGGGGCTATCATTGTTTGGCACCCTTTACGTGTACAGTGTGCCTCCCCCATCTCTCTCTCTCTCTCTCTCTCTCTCTGTGTGTGTGTGTGTGTGTGTGCGTGTGTGTGTGTGCGTGCGTGTGTGTGCGTGCGTGTGTGTGCGTGCGTGCGTGTGTGCGCGCGTGCGTGTGCGTGCATGCGTGCGCGTGTGTGTTTGAAGGGGGTTGAATGCTCCTGTATTGGCTGGAAGCCAGACCCTTCATTACATACTTCCATATGCTGACTGGGATCCCATCCAGCCTCTGTATAAGCTTTCCTTAGCTTCATGCACATTCCCCCAAAACGCCCGTCGGGTGCGTTATCAGTCACCTAAGACTGGTGACGTCATCGGCGCGCGGACTCAACTTGCTACCGCGCAGGACTCCAAGAGTTGGCTGTCACTCCCGCTCAGGCATCTACAGCTTCCTCCATATCCCGAATGCGCCTCGAAAATGGGAGTGCCCAAGTGACCTGTTATCTGGGTGTGCACTTATCGCGATAAGAACCGGCCTTGAAGCCAAGCTTGAACCCGCCCTGGAAATTTTGAAGCGTCACTGGCATTGATCTCTCTCTGATAATGCGAAAAAAGAGCTTATAAAGAGAATTTGATGTGATTCATCAGGTCGATGAACTGGCACAGTTCTCCCTTATTCAGCGCTTTATCCGAGGATGAATAGTCCCTTCTCCATCCACTAGAATGGGGTGGGGGATGGAAGTACTTGAGGAGGGATACAGCTGTGTTCCTTCCCAGTACTTGGGGATCGATGGAAAGTACTCTGGGTCGTCAAACCCTTCTCATTCGATCGAGAGCACACCTCGAGAGACCCGTTTCCTTCCTTTTTGCATATGCCTAAGAGAAGTGGCGAAAACTTCAGCCCCGACTGCGACGTCCTTGTGCAAAAACAAAAAAAAAAACAACTAATAACCCGCGGTGATTGAAAATACGTGATGCTCTCGTTGAGTCCATATGGTGTCATGATCGAGAGACAGTCGAGAACAAAGTGCCTTGCCGTTTTTATTGAAGACAGGAAGGGGAACCTAGGGAGAGAAAGGGGGGAAAACAAATCCGGAAGAAATTATAGGGTTGTAGTAGAGTCTAATAACAGTATGAAAGATATGTGGAACCTGAGTCCTCTGTACATGCAAGCATCTCATCTCATCGCCCTGGTCTTATTTATATACTTTGTTTTACACGAAAACTTATTACCTAATCTTGTCATCCACATAGAGACATTAATAATAACTCGGAAAACCATACAAAACGTGAAAAGTTTTCGAGAAAAGTTCTCTCTTTCGAGAGAGAAAAAACGGAGGGATTGGGTAAGATTATGTGGACTTCCTTGGCCCGAGTCCAATCGAAGGAGGTGGGGGTGGAGGCGCGATGCCTAATACCTGACATCATGATTAACGATTCCTTCCTTGTATTTCTTCATGTTTACGAGTGCGAGGAAGGGAGAGGAAGGTCTTCTACATGACTTAGTAGACGGGGGTTTCCGGTGATTTGAACCATTCGGGCAGTCATAACATTTTTTATTTCCCAATATGTCCTTAATTATTTTTTTTCCGCCCTGAAGCTTCCATCGTCGACTTCACGAGGAATATGAAACTTAAGGTTTTCTTCCTGATGAATAACTAAATGTCCATGAATACTACATTAAGAAAATATCCTCAATTTGTTTCGGGGCCCTTGATTATTAGCTGATGGAATGGGGAAAAGTGGTTTTACAGTATTTATAAAAGTATGATGTGCGGGGACCATCGGATATGGTGCCATTCTCCTCATCTTCAATTATTCACCGGCACAGACACAGACATCAAAATTGACGATTGATCACGGAAACACGGGAAAACACTGCAAATTCCCTCCACGGGAGGGAGTTTGCGACGGATTATGTTTTCCCGTTCCGTCCTTGATTCAACAAGAAGAAATACGGGAAAGAGTGTCTCACCTTGTCCTCAATGCAGGGCATTCGACTGGTGGCCCGGTTTCGAGCTGAGAATATGGTTTCCCGCGGAGTGCTCTATTCCCCTCCCCGACAGGGCGCACTCAACCTCGTTCTCGTCCCAAACCCTGTCACGTCCTCCACCCCATAGAGTCCTCTCCGGCATTACCTTTCTTTCATGACGTGAAGATTTTCCCATTCATTTCTTACTCATGTTCCCTTTTTCCCCCCTCCCCGGTGCAATGACTTTTTATAGGACAATACACGTTGATTCATGAGCAGCTGGTAACTAGCTGCTCATGATTCAACGTGAATTTCTGTCCTTGTTACAGTATGAAACACAGTAGCTCCGACGAAAGGAGTGAAATTGTCCATTTCTGTCAATACCACATGGAGCATATGGCTAGAAAAAAAAATTGTCACAGCTTGGTGCTTTTATGATTTCTCGGACGTAGCTCAGTTCGAAACGAATGAAACTGATATTTTAAGACGTTGTGTTAGTAATATAAAGCTGTACTTTGAATAGGGAAGAGACCCAGCTGCGGGTGTGTTCGTAGGGAGTGGAATGGAGGGAATTCTTACATCTCCACATCTATTTCCCTGTGAAAAGCCAGATGATTTTTTCCAGGGATGATAATCCCAGCCCGGGATGGTTTTTCAGATTCTCTTCCCTACTCCCCCACCCACGATGTGTCCTTCCTCCCCCTCTACACGAAAATCCATTAGCAGATCCCCCCTCTTCCACAAAGATTATACCTCACTTTGAAAACATCCTCCAGAGGTATCGTGCATTATAGATGCAAAAAAAAAAAGTTTTGTGACACGCAAGAGGGTTCTCAAGTTGAGTCGATGTCTCCGTAATTATGAAGCGTTATTGTTTATTTTCGTTACCAGGCCCAAGTGATCAGCTATAGAGAGTGATTTTCTCAGGATAAGGGGTGAGTGGGGGTGGGGAAGAGGATTCGCTGTGCAAAGTTGACGCCTTGCAATACTTCTCTTCGTCTGTCGAAGGCGAGGTGCAAGTTAGAAGTATAATTCATAAAGATGTAGCTTCACGAAAATTCGGACTCTTGGTGCACGTGGATGTGTAACATACTCGTACACTATCTCTCACTCATCCCCCCCCCCTCCCCGAATTCGAATCCTTTCGATCTTTCGCTAAACTGATTCAGCTTTCACCTCCTCACCTCTATTCCTCCTACCAACATAGAAAAAAATAAAGAAAAATCTGGAGTGTCCTGGATTCAAATAATTTTGGGGAGATGGTTTACGCATCCCCTTCTCTCAAAAAATGGGAAAGAACCCTGGGATTTCCCTTCCTCCTCTCCCCCCCTTTTTTTTCCCATGCCGGTTTTTCCAAGAAGTTTCGTAATGTAAAATTGTTACCATTCATTTACTCTATACAGGTCAAATCTCGTTACAACGAATTCCGTTACTACGAAAATCTCACTATAACGAAAATATTTCCAAGCCCCGGCCGATGGCCCATAGTAATAGTACTTTGTAGATCTCGTTACAACGAAATTCGTTACTACGGATAATTCAGTACAACGAACGCTTTTTTTCCAGTCCTTGTACGTATAATAGTCACTTGTTAAAACGAAAAAATATCTTACACCTGATTGTTTGCGAAGAGACGGTCGTCTTATGGTTCACTCCTTCCCTTTGGATCTTGAAAGAGTCCCGAATTCTCTGTTTCCCACGCTTGTGGCATAAAAAGTGTTAGCGCAAGGAGGAACGTGCAGTAGTTGGCGCAGGCTAGTCGTGGCCAAAACTTAATCACTTACAACACAGTGTACCTGTGTGCCCCATCCCGCAGACATGGCTAACAAGAGAAACAAGAAACTCCGGCAGTTTTCGTCGGAAGAAAAAATGAAAGTAGTGGAAGCAGTAGATTCCGGCAGGAAAAAAGGAGACGTGGCAAAAGAATTCGGCATCACTCCCTCTACGTTATCCACGTTCTCGAAGGATCGTGCCAAAATGGAAGAAAAGTTGAGGAAAGCGGCTCTGAGAACAAAACGAAAGAGAATGCGCGGTGCGTTCTACGATGACATTGACAAGGCAACACGAACTCTTGTGTACAGATTTTCTCCAAACAAAATAAAGTGGAAAATTACTGCATCTGTGGTTTGTCCGTTGGAAGACATAGCTAATTTAAATAAAGAATGTTTCTTTTGAGTTATTTCGAGCAATATTCGATACAACGAAATTTCAGTACAACGAAATATTCAGGTCACCCCCCTGAAGTTCGTTGCAACGAGATTTGACCGAGAACGAGATTGTATATCATTTAAGTTCAATTGCTTTTCTTTCATACGTAAAATCATTTTATGAATTGTTGTGATTTCATGTATTTTATTTTAGTTAAACCTCGCATTTTCACTTGCTTTATTTGCATGGATATTTCCATCATATGGTCTTATTGTATATGAATGTTTGTTGTTCATGGATGATGGCAGATGGAGGAGGAAGGGAGCGCAGGGGATGAGATCCGCTGTTTCATCCTCTCCACGCTGGCGGCATCCCGAACGGGGAAGGTGAATTGCACTTTGTGCTTCTCTGGGATGCCAGTCTTCGACCGCTACCCCCTCGTGGATGGCACCTTCTTCCTCTCTCCCACCCACCATTCTCCGGCCTCCCTCCCCGTAAGAGCATCGTCTTGTCACCTCTTTTCTGTAAGCTGTTAATCGGGATGCTGGTCTTCTTCGACCGCTGTCCTTCGTGGACAGCAAGTTCATCATCGCCCCATTCTTTTGCAACCTTCCCCCCCGCACCTTTACTTCATTTAGAGGCTTACAAATTATGAAAGGATAAGGCTTTTCAAAGTGATACATATGAAAAGCGAGAAAAGATATATGGCGACCGAATTGAAAGAAAAATTTATGGAGGGAAAGGCAAGGATTTCTTGAAGAATGGTTATGATTTTCTTGAAATTGCATTTTATATATTGTGTGGTTTTGCCGTTGTATTAATTGATGCTATTCATTGATTAATGCGATTGATCTATACTGAAGGTGAAGATCGATGGTCGGGAACAGTATCTGAGTGCGATCTGCATGAGTTGCTTGGAGGGCTGGGGTTCTCGGGTGGTGTGCAAGGGTTGCCGGAGACCCTGGGATGGATCCCAGCTCATCCTGGGGTCTATGTACTCCTTCGACGTCTTCGCTGCCAACCCCTGCTGTTCTGCTCGCCTTCAGGTATATTATAAGCCGAACCATAGGTTATTCTAGGCAAAGGAAAATAGAAATGGGGTTTAAGGGGAAGTTTTACCGCTCATGTCCTTTTACAGTAGAGGAAGAACTGAAAGAGAATATGCTTCTCTTTCAATTCTTCTATTCAAGTTTCTATTCAAGGTGAATAAAGGGCTGAAATGAAAGTGGTCTATTTGCAACAAAGGTCTGAGAAAAGCACACTTGATTTAATGCGCATAGCATCCTTCATTATATTGCTTCTGAATTGATTGTGTTGAAATCTGATCAAGTGATGTTGAGTTTCTGGCGCACTTTATGCTCTTCTAGTGAATATATATGGATGCATGATTATATTCTAAAGATGAATTATATATATCTATATTATTTTTTTCATAAGTGCTTGAGCATTATAAATTTGCGTTGTCAAAATCTCTGAAAATGTGTTATAAAAATGTATTTTCAGTGCAACAACTGCAGTCAGTTGGTATTGCACCCGGAACAGCGTTTGGCGTTTTTCTCGGACTACAGTCGCTCGGCTCCGTGTCCCTTCTGCGGACTTCTCGACCATCACTTCATCAAACCCCTTCACAAGGTGTACGACATCCTCACCCTTCAACAGCAACAACAACCTAAACATCACCTCATACGCACGTAACCCCTAACGAAAATTACCAGGACTGGAAAAACAGGAAACTTAGTGGCCGGAAATTCCTTCTCCTCTTCATGAATTTTTTCCTCCATGTTTTGTTCTTTTTTTTCTATCTCCTCTCCATTTGGGAGTTTTATTCATGCGTAATCCGGTTTGAGTGATTGGTTTTTTCGTGTGGAAATATGGTAGAGCCAAGCGTGCCAGCTAGTCCCGGCGGTGATTAAGAGTTAGAAGGGTAAAACGGCTTCTCTTTGAAATCTTGAAGAGCCGGGAAGGGAAGGTTTTTTGTCACCTTGTATGTGGTGTACTCAAAAAGTAGTGGTCACTGCGGCACAACTCCATCATTTCAGATACAGCATTAATACTTTATCTGGAATAATGAAGGAGCTCAGTGGTCACTACTTTTAAACGCACCTTTTATATCCCAGGGAAGTGAAGAGAGACTCGCGTGAAAAAAAAATCAAGAGAATAGAAACTTTTTTTTTGCTCCTTAATATTTTTTTTTGGCTTCCTGTGATGCGATGTGATCAAAAAAATCATAGCGAGTGGAGAGCCTATCTCATTCAGCCCTTTCCTTTCTCCCTTCTCCTCTCTCTCGCTATTTCCGACTTCTTCCATCTAAAAGCATTTCGCAGAACATAACTATTTTTACAGAATATACCAGCCAAATAGTACAAGTTTTGGAAAATGTGAAATATTCGTGTACTATATAAAAAAAAATCAATTCAAGCTAGTTTGCAAGAGCAGGTCATCAGCTTAGTTACATATTAATTATAACTTGAAAAATCCTTGTGCTTTCGCATGCTTTGTAGTCAGTAGCCTTTTTAAAAAATAATTTCTCACATCTTCAACTTTCGTCTTTCTTCGTCGCCAAAAATCATGAGACGTGGCTCTCACTCGGGGGCAAACAGTACCTGGGGTCCGAGTTTTTTTATTATTTGCAAAGAAAAAGGGAATTTTGCAAGAGGAAATGAATGTCATTTTGTGTGCATGTCATTTCGAGAGGAAAAGGAGGTGGTGATGAACATGGAAATTCGGGGAGGGAGAAGAATAATTCTTTTTGCTCTGAAAAGTTTATGCAGATTCACCCGAGAGCCTTTTTTGTATAGAGTGTAGATAGAACTAAAAGAGGGCGGCGAGAAAAATTATGTATAGAATGTAATGGGAGTTGGCAGATTTTGGTCCCTTTGTACATACGCGAGAGGATTGCTGATTTTATGGATTGCCGTGCAATGATGAGCTGGAGAGATGAAAAAATTTAATTGGAATGGGGAGAGAAGTTAGTGGTGTTCTGGTGTATTTGCTCGAGGTCTAGTCTTGCCACGCCCGAGGATGACAGTGATGAGCATTTATAAAGTTTTTGTGCGAAAAGGAGGATTTTCTTTGAAAAACACCGAGACGACGGAGGTTTTTGCCCGACTGCCACTTTGATCAAGTTTTTTTAAAAATTATTTTTAACTTCCTTCTGGATAAGTACAAAGAGCGTGCGAGAAGACACGAGAAAGTGAGTTGGGAGGATAAAAATTTTCTTCTCATTCTCCTATCACGTCTTTATCCTGTCGACAAATTTCTCCAGCGTAAATGACTTGGAAAAAAAGAAGTAATTTTACGTGTTTGCTTCTCTTCGTTTGACTCTAGGGTAGATTGGAGGATAAAACAAAAAAGACAAAAAAATATTTTTCTTCTAGTATGTAGGAGCACGGAAAACGATGGGGGAAGCTATAAGGGATAATAGTATTCAGGTTGCTTTCCCTTCCTTTTGGTGGAAGAGAAGGAAGAAAGTAGAAATTCTTAGGATGATATTTTCTTTTTTTGGCTGTTTGGCTGAAAGGCGTCAATCACGATTTTTCTGTATGTTTTTCTTCCTTACTCGAGGAAAGAAGAAATAAAGTGATATCAAGGTTTTTCCACACTTTTCCGTCTTTTCTTTCCCCATGAGATATTCACACTCACGAAAAAATGACCCTTAATCACACTACTCTATAATGATGTGCAGTTTACATGAACATGGCTCATGAACAACATTTTGCTTGTGATGAAATTTCAATGGGCATCGCGGTTGAAATTAGTTATTTGAAGTATCATATTCTCTTCTTCTCTGCCAGGAGATTAGCTAATGGGGCATGGATAAGTCCGAATAAACGAAACCCGCTTGGGAAAAAAGTGAGACTCGGTGAATCTCGCTCAAGATCGCCTAGAGCTTCTGCTAGGCGAATGTTAGTTTGTGTTCACTAAAAACTTAATCGGCCCAACGGAAGCCCATATGACACATTCTCTAGTGTTTCAGAATGACCTTTTCTGCGGTCCAAACGTTTACTGGCAGAAATAAATAAATCTGCCAAAGAAAGGTTAAAATAGTAAAAATGATAGTGGATAAGCAGAGACTGGTCAAAACAGGAAATGTTGCCATTGCTCGTGTCATTCAAGTCGATGTTGACTGGAAAATACTAAGGCATCGAAAAAAAGTACCCAAATGATAGGAGGTCGAAAATGAAGTTAAAAAAAGATCAAGTGATGAAAATTTACAACTTCCAATCATGATTGGTCGAGTTAGACTTGGGAATGGTACCATGTATAGTAATTCTTTCAGCTGTGTCTCAGCGAGTGACAAGGGAAGTGACAGGCCTCAGTTCTCCCTTGGGCTAGTCCAAAGTGTTGGATGTGACACCCAGAACAATATATTTGATACATAAAGTATGTTTACAAGTAACGAATCAACATGTAAAGGCTGCAAGATTCAGCCTTAGGCAGCCACTAAAAATGTCATTATCCCAAGTCCCGCCTGCTCTTTATTGCTCTATTATCCAAGTGTGAAGGAGAGTGTCGGATGTGACATCTCATGAAACTCAAGTTTAGTCATTAGCTCAAGTGGTAATATTTTTGTGGTTCAAACCGGAGTGAGATAAGCCGAAAGCTTACCGAACGAAGCTTCAACAAATAACACCAGCGAAAAAGCAGACTACCACAGAAAATTGCACTTCGTCGTATGTGTGAGTCTGTTTGCACTCTAGCATCCAAACCACTGAATATAGAGGGCTGAGATTTTTTTACACTGATTCCTTAGCGTCCAAGAATTTGCCCTTCTCATGGGACAAAACATGCTGCAACATACTAATTTCCTTATTTTCGAGAAAAACTCAATTTTGCAATGGGAGATAAAATTAGCTCATCATGACTTCTGACGTCATGGATGCCATTGTATATACAAGGTACATCGACCAGGAAAGTAAAAATTCCATGGGCTCAATGCAATCGGTACACGAGGTAAAGAGTTATAGGTAAAATAATGGGCTACGAAATTATACGAAACTACAGCCCTGCCATCTGGCATTTACTCGAAAATACAAAGTTTCCACAAAAGAAGAGTGATGGCGAATGAATCGCCGTTGTTGCAAGTTATCCCTGGTGAGTGATCATAGAACTACTCAAGGAAGATCCCGCATGAGCTTCGTGAAGATAAAAAAATATTTTCCCCGTTGAGGCGATTTTTCGTCAAAAACTTCTTAATCAATCGTATTTCCATCTTCGACTCATCTTTCGGACCTATGAAATACGCAGTAGCATGATGTAGGCAACCGTATCGTTCATGATAGTGAAATGGTGAGCTTTAGTTTGGAATAGCCACTAGGTATCGAGGCCCTAACGCTAAAACTCCTTTTCAGATTCGTAATGCCTGGACAGGAGCAAAAAATGGAGTGCAGACTCGGAAAGCCAAGCGTCGCAGAATCCCCAAATTCGAAGAAAATACGAGTAGAACAGGATGCTCCTCGCACCAAGTTGGTACCAAAGTGGACAAGTACCGTCGAGAATTGAGTTGCCACTTACTTTACACTGAGCAGTCTCTTTCTCTTCCGTATGGCATTCAAAAATTAGAGCTGCAATTGCAGCTCTAACCTCAACTTATATAAGTTGAGGTTAGACAGCCAATTAATAACGTCCGGGGTTGCTTGGTGGATTTCTTGAGTCCATCCAGGATATGCGTAAATCGGGCAATGGTCGGCGATGTGGCACATGGTCTGTACTTCCCCAAGTAACACAAGATATTCCAGTAACGTTTAGGAAATGTTGATAAACAATGTTGCTTCCATGTGTAAATGTCCAAAATGTCAACGTTGCTCAAATGTTGGAAAAGAACATTGCATTGACGTTGCAAATCATTACTTTTTCATTACATATACGTTGCAGAAACGCAGAGGCGCTTCACGGGAAGACTCACGGCGGGAGACAGTCATTCTTGAGTGGGGTTTCTTCTAATGTTTCTTTTCTTTAAATGACTGCAACATAGCGGTGTCTTTCATATTTGACTATTCGACCTTGATGTTTGCGATGAAACCCATGATTCCAAGTTTGCTTTTTCCTACATTTTGATGCTTCGACGAAAATCAGCTTTCATCGAAAAGATTTGGCTTCGACGAAAAATCATTTCGGCAAATTTATTCGACATTTGGTCCACTTTAAAAATCGACCTTTAGAGTTTTCGGCGAAGCAACTTTCGATGAATTGGTGTTCGATGTTTTGATACGCTCCCATTTCTTCTTCCCCTTGAATTTTGGAAAGTCGTATCTCCAAAGCTATTGGTTGTAATTCGCTTAAATTCGTATCACACCTATTTCTTGATAAGGCGTTGTATGTCCCAAATGTGAGGAAAATTCCGTGAAGGCCAAGCAACAAATTCCTTTTTTTGGCGGCGATATGGATACAAGTTTCGGCTACCCGAACCTTTCTTTCCTAAATTCTTTCGGATATTGCAAGGTTTCACATTGCCTCGGCAAGGCGGAGAAGAACAACTTTAACAGGCAACCCAATGGAGACTAAAGAATTAAAAATGAGAGCAAGGCAAATCGAGGTAAACTGGGAATTCATGACTAAAAAGACCCTTGAAGAAACACAGTCGATGAATGAAAAAACCAACGAAATAAGGGTTCGTCACGGACGTCTGTAGGATTGACAGGACTCGTAAGAGAAAAAGGGCAGAAGACTTCTGAAGAGAGAAATGTGCTGGTCAAATTAGTATACATGTTTTCATAGAAAAGGTTTTCTTATTTTCCTTATTATTTTTATTATTCTGATGAGAGCGTTTCCATAGTGTCGGATGTGACGTTCGGAGCAATTCTATGTTACATTAGGCGTGTCTGACAACATTGTAAACGACGAATCAATCTACAAAGGCTGCAGCATTCTGCCTTTGGTATTGATATAAAATGTCATGTCAATCCACCTACGGATCATCCCTTGCAAGGGATGATCCGTAGGTGGATTACACCGTCATTCTATAGGTGAAATGAAAACCCTGACTGTGGAAGTTTCCCTCTGATGAATGTTTTAGTAAAAGAAAGCAAGGTTATTCTTGGACAGTGTCGGATGTGACAGGCTCTGAAAATGGTTATGAAAGGAAAATTTTCCTTATTTATTTTAATGTCCAGCTTAGAACATAACTTTGACAACTTGACAATATGTAATCAAGCTTCAGTTCAGTTGAGATTGCTAAAATTTCACAAGTTATCACCCAATAAAATTTGACAAAGAGGAACTTCATACATCAGAGCAACTCGACGTTGCTATCTTCCTTCTGAGACAATAACTCAAATTTGAAAGAACATAAATTTTCACATCGCTCAAATGCTAAATGTGGCGACTTTTCTTCAGAGTGGAGCTGTCACATTCTGCTGCATGAAGCAGGATGCCTTGAATCAATCTTTCTGAAGCAATATTGATGTCTTTCTTTATGGGAAAGATACTGTACATTTGGTTCACATTCGCTGTATTCTTTTCAAAAACTACTCAGAAGGAATCATACACGATGCCAAGGCCAAAAACCAATCTTCTATTTTCCACATTTCCTCCCCTCCCCCCGATTTCTTGCAATGACATCATCGTATTATGGAGCTGATGCATAGAACACTTCAGGTGGCTGTCATCCTCACCGGATTGAATTTCCTCTGCCTCTTTGGATTTTGGAAATGCCAACTTTGGATTTTTCTTCTTTTGCATGAGACGTTACTGTGACTTAATATGAGCCAATGACATCAACACAATGAATGGACTGTGTACCTGGTAATGCAGTTATTCCATGGTACCGTTTATCAAGGATGGCTTTGAATTTTAGAACCCCTTCTGATGGATTTAGCTCAATGTGTACATTTTGACTTTTACAGCAGACCCGACAGAAACAAATTTTCTCCCCTAATCCACTGGCGTTTCGTTTCCAATGGACGTCGAATGCAAATGGTCTGTGATTATGCCTGCTACTCACTGCCGATAGATGACAGCAATGCAGTCACTGAAACCTTGGTGTCCCATCTCTTACCCGAGTATCCCATTTTACACCACCTTCCGTAGTCACTGATAGCGTGTCAGATGCGATACTATTATGTGTCACATCCGACACTCAATGAGCTGAGGCTTCAAAAAGAACTGGGCTTATGAGATGCAGTTATATTATACCTGGAAGTGAATTTACTTCGGGAGGAAAATTTAAAAACTACTTTCATGTCCCAGATATCACGACTGATTTTTCATTATCTTGTGGCGGATGTGACAACTTGGGTGACTTGCCTAGAATCCTCTAAACAGTCTGATAAAAGGAAGAATGATGAACATGCATTTCAAAGCCATGGCACTCATGAACCTGATGCACAAGAAAAATCATGCTGGTTATCTATTCTAATTCTCACAAGGAATGTTGGAAGATTTGCATTTTTAACCCATCAATGAGTCGCCCACACATCATTAAAAATGACTTAGTTCTTTTATTTTGTCACAGTTCATTCATATTCTTGGAAATGAGAGATTTTACGCATTTCCGGGAAATGCAATATGCACAAACTTCATAACATTTCATTTTAAGACTCCATGGACCACTTGGAGTTTTCACGAATTCTCTCCTTTTTTTCTCATCTAGTTCTCAGG